AATAGTTATGAATTACGCTCACTTTGTGCTGGTGTTGATGACTGAAAAAGATGTAGGGCAATGGAGAATCTGGTCTGCTGTACTTAGCTACATATTCACAGGACCTTAGTATTCAGCACTCTGGGCACCTTAAGATGCAGTTCCTGCAAATACCACCTGCTCAGCCTTTTGCTTTGTTCAAATTCCTAGCCTTTGTCATCCACACATTCACACTTGCATGGAGCTGTAATGTCCTAGCTAGGAGTGGTGGTAATAGACACAGTGCATGGTACTGCGAGCTAAGGCTGTTAAGAGGTGGGTAATTGGCTAATCGTGGAGTTAATAGAATTTTTATCGACTATGTGATTAATCAACAAGGGAAGGTGCTCAGTCCTGGCTCATGCCAGGTCCAGGAGCTACCCCTGCTGTAGCTCTGCAGTTTAAATGTACTAAGAGCCTCCCCTGCTAGAGGCAGCAGTGGGGGTGGAGATGGGGGAGGTGAAGGGTATGATTGCTAGTAGTTGACTCGACTACTCGATAAGCTTAGGCTTATTGGGTAGTTGACTACTTGCTTACATCCATACTGTGAACTCAACTGAATTCACTTAGGGTACGTCTACACTACAGCGCTAGTTCGAACTAACTTAGTTCGAATTAGTTAATTCGAACTAAGCTAGTTCGAACTAACGCATCTAGAACTAAAAACTAGTTCGAACTAGCGTTTTGCTAGTTCGAACTAGCAAGTCCACATTGAGTGGACTCTGAACAGGGCTTAAGGATGGCCGGAAGCAGTGCCGGCAGGGCATAAAAGGAGGACTTAGAGCATGGAGATGCTGTCTCAGGCTAGCCGAGGGCTGCGCTTAAAGGGTCCCGACCCCCACCCCGGACACACAGTTCTAAGGGGTGCCCCGCTTGCAAAGAAGTTCTGGCTTGGAGTGCCCTGAGTGCCCACACTGGGCACATCACACCACTCGGCCATCAGCCCGGCTGCACTTGCCGCAGGCTGCCATCTGGGGAGAGGGAGTAATTGGGGGGCTGCAGGAGAGCTTCCACCCCCAGAAGCCCGCAGAGCCCATCGGGGGCTCGTACCCCATTCCTCCCTCACCTCCTTCCACTTACCCTTCCCTAGCCCCCCTTCTTATTGATGTACAAAATAAAGATAACGTTTCTTCCAACATTGACTCTGTCTTTATTGAACAAAACTGGGGGAGACTGGGAAAAGGAGGTGGGAGAGGGGAAGAGAAAGGCTGGGAGAGGGGAGGGCAACTAACATGATCAGGGGTTGGGAACAGGTCCCAGATGAAGAGAGGCTACAGAGACTGGGACTGTTCAGCTTAGAAAAGAGGAGACGGAGGGGGGACAGGATAGAGGTCTCTAAAAGCAGGGGTTGGGTGGAGAGGGTGCATTCATAAAAGTTCTTCCTGAGTTCCCCTAAAGAAGGACTAGAGGACACCAAAGGAAAGGAATGGGTAGCAGGCTTGAAACTAGTAAGAGAAAGTTGTTCTTCTTGACAAAGCAAATAGTTAACCTGTGGAACTCCTTGCTGCAGGAGGCTGTGAAGGCTAGAACTAGAACAGAGTTTAAAGGGAAGTGAGATAAAGTGATGGAGGTTGGGTCCATGGAGTCCTATTAGCCAGAGGGTAGGAGTGGTGTCCCTGCCCAAAGTTTGTGGAAGGCTGGAGAGGGATGGCACGAGACAAATGGCTTGGTCATTGTCTTCGGTCCATCCCCTCCAGGGTCCCTAGGGTTGGCCGCTGTTGGCAGACAGGCTACTGGGCTAGATGGACCTTTGGTCTGACCCAGTACGGCCATTGTAAGCTCAGGGCTCAGTGTCGGGGGTCTCAGTGGACCCCCTTGATTTTCATGCACACCTGGTCCTGGGTGGCCAGGCTGGCAGCTCTCCTGCCCTAGACGGCCACTTTCCTGTGCCTAGTGCGGAGATCGTGGACGAGGTCCACGATGTCCGCACTAGCCCAGGAAGGTGCCCGCCTCTTGCGGTCCAGGGCAAGCTCCCGGGAGCCGCCAGCCTGGTCCCGGCAAGAGGGGGAGGGCTGGGGGGCATCGGGTGGGTGGCTCTGTGCTGTGCCAGGTGCAGGGTCTGCTAGCTGGGTGCTGGCAGGCTTGCACCTGGCACGGGCACCGTAGCCAGCCCGTGCCCCTTTAAGGGGTCCGGGGCCGGGAGGGGGGCATAGAGTTTCCCTGGTGTTGGCCAGAGTGGCCACCAGGGAAACCTGGGGAGGGCTAGCCTCCCACTAGTTCGAACTAAAGGGCTACACAGCCCTTAGTTCGAACTAGCTAGTTCGAACTAGGCGTTAGTCCTCGTAAAATGAGGTTTACCTAGTTCGAACTAAGCGCTCCGCTAGTTCGATTCAAATTCGAACTAGCGGAGCGCTAGTGTAGCACCTATTAAAGTTAGTTCGAACTAACGTCCGTTAGTTCGAACTAACTTTGTAGTGTAGACATACCCCCAGAGACAAGGTATAAAAATGTTATCTGATATCCAATAATCAGAGCATGAGTGAGTCAGGCCACCGTTCCTTTTAACCCCACAAACTTAATGGCATGTTTGTATGGTCTATGTTATGCATTTTGGCTATAATTTCGTCCCTTTTCTCTCTAGTTAGTGTATATATCTTCTGAATTAATTTTTCTTTCTTTCCCTTCCCACTTTCACTACACTTTTTGTTATCTAGAATAAGACATGGTTATCTTCTCCTGAATTTTCTTCAGCCAATTATGGTTTTCTTTGTCTCTCTTACTGTGTTTCTCATGGCTTTCTGTATATCTTCTAAATCTTATACATGACTTTCTGTATATCTTATACGACTTTCTGTATATTTTAGAGCAGGGGTGGGGAACCATTTTTGGGTCGGGTCCACTATCCATAGGGGGCCCCACACAAGCGAGAAGAAAAAACCCACAAGCCCTCATTGACATGGACCCTGACAGAAAAGCAGAAAGACATTCCTCTCATGCACCAGAGCCTAAGGGGGCCCAGGCTAGTAGATTTTGTGCACTCCTGCCCTTCAGTGAGGTGGTGTGTCAGCACAGGCTCTTCACTGCTGGGGGGAAACCCCGGAGCCTCGGGGGCTGCATCCAGGCAAGCCACACCCCTGTCTTAGAAAGCAAGTATAATGGCTGGGATTTCAGTGCTGTCAGTTTCTGAATGATAAAAAAAGAGAAGGGGACCAGGAGATGGGAAATGGGATCTTGACTTCTACTGTGCTATAGATGAAATGACTGAACTTCAAATGCGGAATTTAGTCTTTATTTTTATGATAGCACAATAAATCCACACAGTAGCATTGATCTGTACTTAACAAAATACATTCTAGCAATTTACAAATTTTTTCCATTTGAAAACATTGCATAACATTTTATTAAACACAAATACTTTATATATAGAATTCTCATTGAAAAAACATATTTAATTTTATTTTTTCTCAATAAAGCACAGCCTAACAAAGAAATTGGTTCCCTCATTAGCAAGTCAGAAAAATTAGAACACTAAGAAGATGCCACCTGTCAATTTATTTGATTAATTTTAAATTAAGGTATTAGTGGAATGTAAACACGGGTTCATTTTACAAAAGGCTTCTTATCAGATATACATGCAGAGGTCTGAGTTCCAATGTATATCTTATTACATTTGTTTTCTAATGTAATATAATTTGATAAGCCATTATTAAAAAGAGTAGACTTTGGCACTTTGAGTAAAAAAAGAATATATCAATATATTATGTAAAGAACACAATTTCAATGATTACACAAGTGCTTTAAAATCTTTTGTTAAGAAATAGGAAAGCTTCATAGGAAAAATATCACACTGCACTTGAAATAATGCAGCAAATTTCAGAGTAGTAAAAGCAACATATGCTAGATGGCCCAGATAAATGGCCCAGCTAAAACCAAGGAACAACCACTCCCACCAGAAAGCCTGTCATCTCCAAAACAGTTATATTACTGGAGAGAGTACTGTAAAATTCTTGGTTTATTGCCAATATTTCCAGTTGCAGTTTTCCATTTCTTTTTTCAGCTTCATCTACTTACATACCCTTCTGCATATATAGGCCAACAATGACTGTGTCATACCCATTCCATTAAAGCTAATCCTACCTGCTCTATTGTGTACCCAAACTAAATTAATGCCAACAAGTTTTTTTTATCCAAGACAATTCATATGTTTGTAATCCCTAGGAAATATGTAAAAAAAGGTTTGATATTAAATACCTAGGACTATATCCTACATGTACACAAAAACAACTAAACAAACCTTGTAAATATAATCTGAAAATGCATTTTCTAAAAATTGCTTTTCTCACAGTTCCCTAGTTTCTGTGGTTAAGTTCACTAGCTATAGTGCCCAATAATAACACTCACCATTATTAGCAGGCTGCAACACCATGAGTTATTTCCTTAAACATAATCTGCAGAATTCACCGTTTGGAATTTCTGAGGCAGAGTGTGTAATGAGGTTAGGGGCTGTCTTTGTTCAGACTGGAGGGAAAAACAGATACTGGTCCATTAAGAGTCTCCTTGCCCCCTTATTTTCAGAACTGGGGAGGGAAAAAGCCTCACCTGAAGTGGTGGGCTAGTGAGGAGGACCCAGGTAAAACATTGGCCCCTGTACTCTGGACGGGGGAGAAGTGTGGGAAAAGAATCTATGAGCCCCTGTCTTCTGGCTGGAATCCCCTTCCATGCCTCCAGCCCCTGGGATTAAAAGTAGATCCTTGGAGTGTTTGATCAGCTGTGAGTATTGCGCTAGGCATCTTATTTAAGAATAGAGGAAGGATTTTTCCTTTACTGCCAGATTGGGGTTCTCGCCTTCTCCACTGCAGCTTAGTGACCCAGTGGAGTAGATTAGGAGACGAAGTTCAAGCTATTGCAATTTAGCAGATGGAAGCTGTCCAGTGCAGTACTCATTCCATAAGAGCCTGGTTCCCTCATGAACCAGAATTGGAAGTGGATTTAGAGGGTGCCTTCCCCTTAAGAAGCTGGAGAGAAATGTTAGGCTTAGCTCCTTAGCCTTCCTCTGTGGGGAGAACACTGGGGTCCCAGCAACTGGCTAGGGACCATCTGGTGAATGTTGAGGGACTGATCCACTAGGTGGAAACAAGTTCCCAGATAAGTTAATAAAATCGCAGCCTCACCAAATCCTTTATATCTTGTTTGTCTTCCTGCATGCGCAGGACAAAGCCATGTTAGTTTTCTTTAGAGTCCAGTTTAGTAATTCTTGGGCACACAGATTCCAAGAAGGCAAATTATTTTCTCATATTACAAAAGCATTTCAGAAAGGATTATGTCATTAGAAGTTCTATAGACTCTCCAACCCCAGGACACAGTCCTTGTGATTTCTAGCTGAAAAAAATCATGTTTAAGGAGACTCTTACTGAGTCTGTTTCAGGGACCCTAACGGCACCCAAAAACCAACGTAATACTCATGTATTGATTCTGCATACAAAGACATTCCAAATTTAAAGCAAAGCTTATAAATAAAGGTGCACTATGATGAGGGTGAAGCTTATGGACATTTTGTGCTAAGCTAAGCAGGTGAGGTGAGTACATCCAAGAGTGAGCTAGAATGCTTGTTAATCAATAGCTAGTGACTGATCAGTAACAATTTCAGTTTTCATGGCAAACCTTCTTTCAGAGCAAATTCATTTGCAGTTATCAGTGTCAAACATTATCTAGTTGGAAATTAACAGAAAAATATAAAGTCTACAGAGAGACAAAATGAGAGGAGGTAAAAATGCAAAATCTGTATTTTTATGTACTTTAAAAGATCCCCTTAAAAACAATATTTAAAACAGCCTACTATGAAAAAGCCTCTTCATTAGTAGCACCTGTACTTAAATAAAATTTGAGCAGCAGCGGTAGCAAAACTATTCAAATTAAATAGTTATTCCACTCTAATGGAACGTCACCCACATATTTTTGTTGCAGTAAACATTATTTCAAAGAACTACACAAAATCTTTGCAATCTTTTAATGTGACAAATCCACTATAACAAAGCTGTAAGTATTTCCTACTCTACATGAATGCAGCCAGCATCGTCATAGTATTAATAGTATTACTTTTAAAGTAATTTCACGTCAATATGTCATGTGTTGGTAGAGTTTAATAAGTATGTAAATTTTCAAAATATGTAAAGTTATAATCAGCACCATTCTGTAATAAAGTTTTGGTGCAAAATCTGCAAAGGTGAATATAGAACAACACTGATACAGCCTTTGCTGTGAAAAATTCATTTGTCCTCAGACATAAATATAAATGAAATCAAAAAGTTGGCACATTCAGGAAATAAAGTGTCTGTGTTCAAGAGCATCATTTGACTGATATCATGACCCTCAGAGAATGATTGTGGTCTGATGAAACAAACTGTAAGAAAACTCTTCACGTTAGGTTCTTGCATTGTGCTTTTCCCCCCAACCACATGAAATCCACAAGTTCATGCACACCAAACATCAGTAATGTCCAATGATAGTCAGGTCGAGGGTCAGTAATTTGGCACACCAAGAATATTTCTAAATTAGCTCAAAAAGGAATCGAGCACAAGCTTTATCAAAATGTGTTAATTCTTGGATCAGCTTGACACGCCTCCTTTCATTCTTTGTAAGCTCTTGTGGGGGATGTTCCTTTATAGAAGATGTTTCTGGTGTTCTCGGGGCTGCTTCCTCTTTCAGGGATTAAAATAATGTTACCTTTTCTTCGAAGTGTAGAGTCACGGCTTGAAGAAATGGACAGAGTTTCTGAGCCAATCTCACTTCCCTCCACCGGTGTGACTCTTATAGTAGTAATCCCATGATGGTGATGCTCACTGTTGTCTATGTTACTTCTTTTCCTGTCACCAGACCCATAACTGTCTTTCAAGGATTCACAGCTCTCAGAGTCTCTGTTGAGATCATTTAGTTCATAAGTCTGACGAAGGCTACCTTTCTCAGGAGCTTTCCATTTCCAAGAGCCACTCCCTTCACCTTCTGATGGCATCTGAATTATGGGCCTGTTATTTTCTGGATGGGCCTCAACTCGTACAATACCACTGGGTTCATGATCTGTCAAAGTTTTATATCGGATGGCTCCAGTACAGGTGACCGTGCTGCCCTCTGAATTCTTAGGACTGCTCTGAAGCACTCCTTGCTGCTTTGACATGGCTATTACTTGCATGATTCTTGGCTGGCTGTTGCTTCTACATGCAACGCTTTTCTCAGCAGCTTTCAGCCATTTGGCCCTGGCTGAGCTACTTTTGGGAGATGTGTTTATATTTTCCTGGGTCTCTTCAGGAATATGGACTAGCTGTGAAGAACCAGGACGTGACTGAATAGAGACTCTTAGCCCACCAGAAAGACCAGCACTATTACAACCCGGAACGCTGCCAGGCTGAATTTTTAGGTACTGACTGCTGGGGCCATGATGATCACCATTAACACCTACTCTGGATGGCTCAGAACTTGATCTCATTTCAATAGACCTTGGTGGTGAATGGCCAGATTCAGTTTCTATTACTTGCAAAGACAATTTTCGACTTTCATTTTTGTTCTTCCATTGAGAAAGAAGTTGCTTGGAACGGGCAGAATCCATTGATGCATGGATTGTTGCATTTCGTCTGGCTGGATCTTCCATTGATGGCGTGTTGACTCTCGGCAAAGTGTTGCTGAAAGTAACCATATTTTCCTTTCCCATGGGGCTTCGTGGGGTTATAATCTCTACATCAGCATTTGCTCTCTTGATGTTAGTCAGGGATCCAGAATCTCTGTGGTTTCTATTCAGAATACTCTCAGAATGGTGAGAGGAAAGTCCATCATTGCTGCCACCATTTTTGCCCGGTAAAATTCTGTTGGCATCTTGACTAAGGTCTGTAAAAGATCGTAGTGGTTCTCTTTGCAGATTCTGGTGTAACACACTCTCCTCACTTGGTAAGAAGTTACCCACAGCATACAGACCCTGATATTTGGATAGAAGCATTAGACAATTATGGAAAAACAAATATTTTAGCCACTTCCATGTCTTTAAATGCACAGAACATGGATCATATTAATATAGTTACATTGACAAGATTTGTCCAGTATGTTTTCTTTCCATTGCTATTTATCCTCACCAATGCAAACCTCATTCATTGTTCCAAATTTTGCCCACAGTTCTGTACTTGTAGGTAAGTATAAAGTCATGCCATTGTGATTCTTTGTTACAACATGTAGTCTAAGCAAATAACTTAGTGGAGGGTTATTCCGCTCCCCCCTCCCCGCCTGTGTTCCCCCTCTTACAAAGCAGCAACCACAGTGCAAGAGAGAATATTTTGTTTTGAAAATAATGTTTTCACAATTCCTGGTCCTTGCATAAGAAATATTTACACATAACTGACTGCTCTGAATCTTGTTACATTACTGAATCTTGTTACAGCCTGATTAGTTCTCTGCTCAGTAGTTCTGCCCTTTCTTCTGCGCAGTGACTGTAATACAGTATCTACATGATAGAACAATTTCTAAGCTTTGTATCGATTGGCTCCCAAGTTATGCATGACTTCAACAAGGTTTAGCTTCATGATATTTACACTTTCAGTGGGCCAGCTGTAAAAGAATCATTTGAAGACATTCTAGTGAGAGGGACTGTTTCATAAACAGTCTAAATGCTTGAGCTAATCACTCAGGTTAATTCTTTGCACTATTCCCAGATCTATTTGTAATTACATAGTATTAACTGCCCTTATTCTGCTTCCCCATTAATTTTCAGTTTTCAGGGCAGATTTCCTTGCTACTGGGTATTTAGAGTACCTGAAGTCAGTCATCATGCAACAGCCTAGGGACAAGTTGAGTCAAGAAATGTTTGACTGTCCTTCAATTCAATTTTTAGTGTGAATTTTGTAAGTCTTCACATAAGCTTGTAATTTTATAGGGCATTCACCTATCAATTCCTGATCAGGCTGCAATATGCAGGAACTGACCATTTTCATATATACAGTTGTATGGTTTCAATAGTCTACTCATGTTGCTGTTCCTTCTGCCACTCTAAAATCTATTTCCTCTAAAACCGTCCTCTGGTGAGAGCATTGCATACAGCCCTTACTGTCCTTGTATGATTTTTATTTTCTAAAACTTAGAACACATTCATATTGTATTTACCAAATAGAGAGCAATTCCTCCTCCTATTAAGAATCCACAATAGACATCTACTGGATGGTTCTTATACTGTGTGATACGAGTCAGGCCACATATAATGCCACAGATGATAAATGCAAAGACGAGAAGAGGTTTCAGAAGTTTGGAGGAGTCAGTTAAAGTGGAATTGAAGTACATCTGGAAAAGGAAAAAAAGTGATTTATGTAATTTCAGATTGAGGTAAGGGAACATTACTTTATTTTATGTACTTTTTCTTAAAATGAA